TGAGAGCAGGTGCCAGGCACCCTTTTAAATCCTTTGCTTTAGGTTTGCTCATGGACCACTGGTTTAATCCATATTGGCCATTGCAGCATTCTCCGGTATTTTCTGCCCAGGGCCACAGCAAGGTTCCAGCACCAGCTGGCTTATTCCCAGGCTCGCCTTCCCATGAAGCAGACCTGGGAGCTTCAGCAAGGAGAGGAAATGGCTCCTGAGCAAATTGTTGCACTCACCTTGGTAGCAGCAGAGTGATAGGGAGAAGAGCAGGAAAACACCGGTTGCCTTCATGGTCAAGGTGATGCTTTGCTGGGGACAGCAAAGAGGAAATGGAATGCTTCTCAGGCATTCAGAGATCCCGCCTCTGGTGGCCTGTGCTGGCACCTTTATACCTTTCCCCACCTCTGGCACCACAATGCAGGGCCAGCTGCACCCTGCAGTCTTGTGGTGACAACACTGAAAGCACAGGGACAACACCAGGTGGCAAACGGCTCATTGGTGTGCGCAAGGATGAAAGCATCTCGGGAGCCAATGGAGGTAACAATCCTTATCGCTGGCAAGGGCTGGAGCTGCATCTCAGGTGTGGGAGATAACCTTGGGTCTGCACTGCAAGCTGGGAAAAAGTGACTTTGCGCAAGAAGCAGGTTGGAGAAATGGGCAGGAGAGTGGCTTTGATTAACGACCTTGCCACTGCCACTTGCAGGGCTCTGGGTGAAGATGGCTTTGGTCTACACATGCCTTTCCTGGTGTGATCTGCAGAGCAGAACTAGGGTGTTACAGTTCCCCTTTTCTCCCCAGACAAATAGGCACAGCAGCAAGAACTGCTGTGGCAGAACGAAGAGCTTGGAGGTGCCTTAAGCTCACTTGTGGCTGCATATTCAGTGCTGTTATTTTGACTGCACATCTGATTGCAGGCAGGCAGCTGAAACCAGCTCCATGGGTCAGATGCTGCTCGTTCCCCTCTCCCTGCCTGCAGTTTGGAGTAAACCCTGGGGATTTCCTATGTTTACTCCACCAATGGTGCATTGCGCAGAGTGCATCAGTCCCTTGGGTTTAAAGGATTAATTAATGTTTCTAAAGCACTTTGATATCTCGGCCATAAATCACTGGAGAAGTGCAAAGCAAATTATTACTAATGGGGGCTTATGACTCAAAGACAGATTTTTAATTAGCTGAACAGGAAAAAGTCAATGCCAAGAGCAATTCAAGGAGCTGTTTGTGAGACAGAAATCTCAGCTCAGTCAGCAGCTCCTCCAATGTCCAAGGGAGACCCTTGTCCAAATGTGGCTCTGAAGGATGGTTTCTCCTGCCATAAACAACCCTTGTGAGTTTGCTTTGGAAGTGATGGAGAGTTCCCCTGCTGTTGTCTGCAATTCCTTCTGCTCTCTCTGGGGGAACCTGCAACATGAAGCTGAAAGAACTACTGTTAATGCTATCTATTATTTTATTAACAAGGAGAGTAAAGCTGTGAATAGTTGGGCTGGGTGTGAGTGGATGTCTGTGAGCAACCAGCAGTCCTTTAGTGTGCCTGGGACGAAGATTCATGTGGTGTAATCACCCTCTGAGGAGCAAGAGTGGGAGGTATGATCATTTTTTATAGCTGAAAGAGGTTCATCTTGATCCAACACTGTCCCCTGTTACTCCTCCAGCACACCTGCCAGTGTAAGTAAAGCCAAGTAGGTGCCAACAGGTGCTTTTGTCTCACTTCCCAAAGCTGGATGGGGACTTAGCAAGAGTGTTGATGGTTATATGCCAGGAAAACTGGTGAAAAGATTTTCCTTCTCAATCTGTAACACATGCAAATAGAGCAGTGCTGAAAAGAGTTTCTCTGATTACCCCTGTTTGGGATGTGCCCACTCCTGGTAAAACACTTTTGCACATTTTTCAGTTTAGAGATCCTTGCTGTAGCCAGGAAATGTGATACTTTTGATTGTCCAGAAACAGAAACATCTTTTCTCAGGTTCCTTGGAAACATCCAGGCACATTTCCAAACTTGAATTTGATGGGTAAATCCTCAGTGTTTACGACAGCTGCTTTGCAGATGGGAAATGTGTTGACTCCTGGGACATTTCAAGTGTGTGCAACACCATGGTTTTCTCCTGTCCTTCCTTCACAAGTCAGAGGCATTGAAGCAGAGACAGGCTGTTGACCAGTCCTTGCCTCCTGGACACTTCTGTCTTTATCCTCTTACTGCTTGGGCTCCTGAAAGATTTGCACTGACTTAATCTTTGTAACCCCTCTCAGAGCTGTAGGAGATGAAGTACTTCACTATTGAAGGTTGAAGAAACTCCGGATTATGCATGCAATGGACTGAACTTTATTCTGCAACAAATTGAGCCAGACCAACTGATTCAAGGTCAACTGCCTCTGCCAAAAGAAGAGTCCCCATATAGGCTGCTAATGCTGCTGTAGCCCAACAGCAGCCATACTAGGTTTTTAATGAAGTTTTCTCCGTTAGTAATTGCTCTTCCTTCCCAAGTGCCTCTACTGACATCTGTGTGTTTATGAGATGCCTTCAAAAACATGGGATTTCAGGGCTCCTCTCTCCTGATTGACATCTATATTATACCCTTCATGAAAATCAGAGATGCCCTGGGGCTTGTTTGACTGGGGAGGAATGAAAAAGAGCTGCAAACTGCTATTGCGCTGGGTGCTCCTGGTAGAAGGAGCAGGGACATGTCTTCAGCAGTGTGGGCTTTCTCAGGATGTGTCACCTTGTCAGAGCAGCGTGTTCCTCTGAACACATCAGCTGGAGGAGTAGAGAAAAATGAGTCAGGCGGCTCTGCCAGCCGTGCAGTGGGACTCACTGAGCGCAGCACTTGCCATGAAGAAATGGAGAAGATGGGCAGGCCCCAAAGCAGGTGCTGGTATGGGATGGCTTCCCCTTGGTTGCCTTGTTGGGTGATGGCCACCACACACGGTGGGGTACTGAAGACCTTTGCTATTGCTGATGGCAGGCAGCTCTATGTCTAGGTGGATCAGCAGGAAGAGGAGATTCTCCTTCATCAGGATGAGTGTCTGCATCATCTTTCGGCCAAATCTGAGTGCTGTCAAATTACATTTCATTTTCAATAGGAAAGTATTGCAAAGGAACAAAAAATTGCATTGCAGGGGAATGAAAAGGTTTGATTTTCATGAAGGATATAGAATTTGGGAACCTACTTATTTCCCTGCTATGGCCCATCCATGACAGGCTGGAGGAGCACTTGTTGTACCAAGGCTGGAATTTGCTTTTTCTTAAGACTTTATGTACAGAGAAAAGCCACCAGTGCCCAGGGGAAATTGCAACAGAATCACCAGTCAAAAGCATTCAAAGATCACAAACCAGACCCAGATGATCATGAATCACAGCTTAGAAACCGCAAATGGTTCTTAAGCCTCTTCAAAATTATGGCATTTACCAACAGGCTCGTTTGGGCTGGTTCACATTCTCCAGCCTTCTTCTGAACCCGAGACAGAGAAAATAGGCTAAAGCAAAAGCAGAGCTCTTCTTGCAGTCCCAGCTCCTGGGAACTGGGGTGGAAACAGGGAGATGTTGTGACACTTGGCACAAGCTGGTGGTGCTGGGGCTGGGAGTGCAAGTGAGAGGTGACCCCTCAAGCCCTGTCGCAACAATGTCCTAAGCCCTGCCACCAAGGAGTGACTGTGCAGGGAAAACCCACACCATGTCCCTGTGTTTGTGGCATCACTTGGTGGAGGTTGTGGAGACCTTTCTTGGGTGCATGAAGGGAAGGCACTTTTGGGACTTGTAGGAGGATCCTGTGCTCAGGATGGTTAACAAGTCAGGTAGAGTTTGCTGCTGCCCTGTGATGAGTGGGATGAGTGAAGTTTGCAGAAAGGCTGATGCAAATGTGAAGCCCAGGGTGTCACAAAAGACAGCTCCTAAGATACTCAAAGCTCTCTTGGGTCCAAAGAGCTGCTTGTGTTATCTTCAAAGGCTAAAAATTCCTAAAGCTCTGTTTCTTGCTGGGTATCTGAGATGGTTTTGAAAGCAGTCAGTGCAGGGAGTGCAGAAGAGCAAGCCCTGTGCAGTAGGGTGCCCATGTTGGGGAGGAGGTCTTTTGCATATGCAGGAGCCCATGGGGACATCTCTGCAAGTTGCCTGGAGGAAAGAGGATGGTGCAGCTGGATCCATTCAGGCATCATCCATTCAAGCCTTTTTGCATCAGCAACGTGATAGCTAGACAGTGTGCAGTGGTCAGCTGCTCTTGCATCCAGGAGATACTGCTTAAACACTGTTTTTCCTGCAGAAAACCAAACCAAACCAAAACCAACCATAATTTGGTCTGTACTGATTTTGTCATTGATTCTTTCCCATTAATGCTGGGAAAACTGTTTTGCTCTGGGTGCGCGGAAGATATTGAGCACACTGACAGTTTGGTAAAAGAGATCTTGTAAGTAGCTGCTGTGAAAATATCACTTATTTTCTCCAGCTGTAGGGGAGTCTTTGGAGCCCAGAACAGTATATAAATTTGTTTTCTCTTCTGTCCTGGAAACATTGCCGCTGGGGCCTCTGGTTTCTGGGGAGGCGTCTGAAGATAGCTACAGGGGAATATTAACAAATTATCATTTCTGCTTTTACTAAAGCTTCTGTTTGTTAACCTTCAGCAAGGGCAGTGTGTCCATGACAGCAACATTTGGATCTGCAGTCAGCGGCAGCTTTGACTGAGAATGGGTATTGCTGACAGCAATGTCTGAAGACAAAGGCATCACATAAATCATAGCTTGTTTGGTTGTTCAGAAGAGACCATGCCTGAATGCCCATCAAATGCTTCCTGAAGAGGATAAATGCACTGAGGACAGGTGATGTGTTTGTAAGGATTACTGGCTGAAATTGCCTGGGGTGTGATTGCCCAGCTCCCTGGTATGGGGGCAGGTTCCCAGCCCAGCTCCTGACCCGTTTGCCTGTGCTTTTGCACCACTGCGCTGACACCAAACCCCAAAGTCTTAGTCTGCAGAAACCTTTCCCTTATCTGCTCTTGCTTACTGGGTGGTGCATGTAGCTGGGAGGGAAACCTCTGGGCTGTGGTGTACTCTGGTCACAGTGGTGGCCTCGGGATTCTGTCCTTTCTAGATGGGGCAGCTGCTGCCACTGTCCACTCAGCGGTGATTCTGGGTCAGGAACGGTGCAGTGGGTGCTGGCTCCTGTCAAGACTTTCTCCCCTAATTGCCTGTACCCCTCTCCTTGGCTCCCATGTGGCATCTCCATGGGATGCGGAGGCAGTGGGACCACATGGGGTTGGTTGCCCAGGAGCCGAAATTTGGAGCTCTGCTCTTCTTGCCTTCCCTGG